GTATTTTTGTATTTGAAATTTATTTTATTTTTTAAAACAATAGACATTTGATAAATATTATAATATTATTATTATATCAGTTACTGGCAGTAATTTACTGTATTACTCAAATTGAAAAAATATTATAAATACAGTAGATATCATAGTATTTTATATTCAAATAGAGTATTAAAAATATAATATTTTATGCACTTACTGTATTGATTTCATATTTTTAAATGTAATTCTGAAATAAAATATTTTTATATATAATAAACTTATAATTTTTGTAAAATAATCAATGCATTATCTATATTTTGTTAATTTTTATTGTAAACATTTTAAAATTAACTAAATAATATTAATTTCACTTTTATTACTTGCACATAAATATAAGAAAATATTGAAAATCTTAAAACAAATTTTTGTTTGAAAATTTACAGATTCTGTCATTGATTTGTTTCGTTTTGCTTCTTCTGGAGGCCGACAATGATTATTATCCACGCGGTTATTACGGCTATCGGTATCCGCCTTCCGATCAATTCTTGATTTTAGTTTGTTTTGCCAATTGGTATACAATCACATTGATGTTGATAGCAGCGCTGATATCTTTGGGAACGGCTAGCATTTTACCGAAAACCAGTTTTGTAAGGATTATAAAAATTTGTGGGATTTAATTGAAAAATTATTTGAAATTTAAATTCTTCAGGATTTCATATATCACTTCATTGGATGCATACTATACTTGATCGGAGGTCTTTGGGTGGCTATCGGTGCCTTCAAACACGAAAACCGTAGCACTTATGTGCAGGTGTCGTGTGTAAGTAATTGATTGTATTAAATATTAAAAGTTATTGTTAAATGACAATAATATGAATATTATGAACAATTGTATGACAGGTGTTGGCCCTCATCTGCGGAATACTTCATTTGGTTCACGGAGTCTTCTCTTACAGACTCTGTATTACTAATTGAGACACAATTCAAACAATACTCTAAATGCAAAACTATTATTGCTTTAAATAATCGGTGATTATAGATAATTCAGAGCACATTTTTGGGATTTAAATTTTAATAAAATTATTTAATAATTTAAGCTATAATTTTTAGTTAATATTAAACCTAAATTCGATCCTAAAAATCTGTCTGAAATACAGTAGTTTATAGATATAGCTTTCTAAGTTAAATAAAAGTTAATAAAACTTTAAGCATAATTTAATGCACTCAAAAGTATAATTTTAAAAAATAATATAATTTAAATTTTGTTCATTGTTTTCCAAATATAGTTAGATTGAGAATACAATTTTTGGATGAATTTTTGAAATGAATGCACAGAATATTCAATGGATTAAGTGGTGGTGTAGTGCACAACAACTGATCATTTTTGTCAAATCCTTACGAAAGTACTTATGAATTACTCGAGCTTTTGTACAACGAGTTCTTATACATAATTATTTGAATGTCAAAATTATTTCACCATTAGTTTTAACTTTGATTTTCATCCCTTATTTATTAATAATCATTCTTATTCATTTTATAATAATAGTTGATTTAAAAATTTATTTAATATACATGTTATTTAAAGTTTTAACTATTAAGTAGTAATATATTATTTACTTATATTTATTAATAAAATAGATTTAGAATTACTTTTTATAAATATAAATGTTTTACTCTGATTGCAATTTACAAAAATATATATACTGGGTTAAAATACAGCTAAGATTTGACAAATACAGCTAATCAAAACACAAATACTCTATTTGTTAATTAAAATATTTGTCAGAATTATTGTTTAAGTATATGCCGGTAATCAAATTACAGACAAATTTTGCTATAATTTTATATAAAAGATCTAATTTAAAAATATATTTATTAACTCGATAATATTTGAA